CTGTTCTTCAGCCCCGTGTTGCAATTTGTTATTTTTCCCCAAGAAGCATTAGTTTTATTTGTTGGTGTTTATACTAGATAGTGTTTAGAAACTAAGATCTGACATTAGATAAACTCAGTGCTACTAACGTCAGGGGTGCTGCTGTTCTCCCAGACGGGGCTTAATGTGCAGGAGTATGTTAAGATGAGCCATGGTCCCTAGTACCTATGGAAGGAAGCTGGATTGAGGGGAGGGAGCCTGATTTTAGTCTGTGAGAAGTTCATGAGTTAGAATGGCTCTTCAGCTTTGTCCCAAGTTGAACCACTAGGTCTTTGGGTAGGGAAATTTTGGGGAAAGACAAGAGATGGTAAGCTTTTCTGCAGTTCATGCACACTGAAGGGACAGCTGAAAACTGTCAACAACACTCATGGCAGTTGGGGCAGCAGGTCTTTCATTGAGGGGAGCTGCAGGCGGCATGTGCCAGCATCCTCCACCTCATCCAGGTTAGGCCCTGACACTCTGGGTCGTGATTAAGGAGGAATGCCCACGTTACTCCGCTGGAGCCCCCTCACCTCGTTCTAACTGAACCCTCTTTACCCTGCCTGAACCCTCCTTTCCCAACCCACACCCTCCTCACCCTGATCGAGGAGTCCTGGCATCTGACTTTACACCAATCCAACCCCTCCACCACCACTGTGGCTTTCAGGCAGACTTTTCCAGAAAGTGTGTGGAAGAAGAAAAATGTTGATTTAATGTTTATTTATACTGTAATTTTAATTTTCAGAAATTTAGATTGGCTTGGTGTAATTGTACAAATTTCACTAAAAGTACTTGCTTCAACTGAGTCATTCCAATGTACCAGAAAAGCAAATGAGCATCAGGATGGATGGTGAAGAGATTGAGATTGTACACAGCTTTAGTTTGCTTGGCTCCATAGTCAACAGTCTTGGCACCAGCAGCCAGGAAATCAAAAGGCGCATTGCCAGGGGAAAGTCTGCTGTTAGGGACCTCTCCAAAGTGCTGAAGAGCAGTGGTGTCTCTCTGGAGACTAAGGTGCGTTTGATACAGGCCATGGTCTTTGCAATCACTTGTTATGCATCAGAGATTTGGACAATGACCAAGGAGGATAGAAGGAGAATTGATGCCTTTGAGCTGTGGTGCTGGAGAAGAGTATTGAGAATACCATGGACTGCTAGGAAAACAAACAGATTTGTCCTGGAAAGAGTTAAACCTGGTGGCTCCTTGGAGGCAAGGATTTTGAGGCTCCGTCTAACATACTTTGGATGTGTTGTGAGGAGAGACCGGTCCTTGGAGAGGGACATCATGCTTGGGAGGGTGGAGGGACAGCGCAGGAGAGGAAGACCCTATATGAGCTGGATTGATTCAGTGACTGGGATAATTGGGATGGGAGTGTCGGAGACGGTGCGATTGGCACAGGACAGAGCGGAGTTTAGGGCTGTTGTACATAGGGTCGCTATGAGTCGTAGGCGACTCAACAGCACATAACAACAACACCACATACTTTTCAAGCAATTTTTCCCTTCCCACATTTATTTTCTAGCTTTTCCTCCTACAGCATCTCACAGAATATGTCTGGTTTTTTAATTCGGAAGTTTAGGGGACATAAATTTCTACTTCTTAGCCTTAGTTCCACACTGTGAATTCTGAAATGGCTTTGATATTTCTCCTGTGTTTTTTTGTTTGTTTGTTTGTTTTTGTTTTGTTTTTACTTTTTTAACAATAACAGAGTCCTTAAGAATCTTGATACTGATTTACTTCTAGCTGGTGAGTTGGTCAGACTCATAGCAGCCCTCCATTGGGTCTGAGAGGTGACAGTTCATTTTCCTCAGGCAGATTGAACTGCTCATCTCTTTGGTCAGCAACCTTGTATGTTGATGTACACCACCAGCAGGGCTCTTGGTACTGATTTCCTATGATTATTTTTTTCTTTTTAGACCTGATATTAAGCTCACATCTGAATAGATAAAACATCAAGGTAAAATATATTAATATAGTTATTCTTCCTCTGCCAAAAAAATGAGAAAAAAGTCTGTGTTCACAGAGTTGTACTGCTTTTATTATGGAACACAATAAAAGCAATATGCATGAACCCAGAAATGAATCACAGAAGCCCTCCTCAAAGGAGGAGAAGGAAGTGGGAAGCTGCTACATATCCAGTGTTGACAGAAGTCCTAAAAAGTATCAGCGTTTGCCCAAGGGTATAGGATTTAAAGCATAATCATATCCACAAAGAATGGCTTTTTAGTTCTTACTTATACACTGGGTTGAAGTTACCATGTTTATTTCCATTAATACATAAATTCCTAGTTTTTAACTTAATACTTTGTCATATTACAAAAAAATGTTAATCTCCTTATTTTATTCTCGTATTTGTGTATGTCCCTGTTGTGGCTTATGATGGGCTATTGGAGATCTGAATGAGTGTATGAAACAGCAGGTTTGACATGGTTTTACGTAATTACCTCATGAACCGACAGTGTCACTCTACACGGGTAGTTAATTCCTTCTGATTTTAGTTGGCTTTTCAGAAACTGGTGCAAATGTTATTTGCCAACCTTTCTACTACATGCTGTTTTTCTGGAAAAATAAACTTTTTGTTCAAGATTACAACTGAAAAAATCAGCACATATCAATGGCATAGCTTGATAGGGACAGCTATTTTGATGTGTTCTAATCTCCAGGGTCTTTGAATTTAGTAAGATTTGAAATAGAGACCCATGATCTTTTATCATCTAAAATTCTTATAATTAATGTGTACCAAAGATCATTTAAGAAATGAAGAATAATTTAAGCTGTTCTTTCCAGTAGTTTATCTTTGCAGTGTAATTGTCATAAAGATTTGGACAAGCATCTAAGTAATCTATTTAAAATAAATAACCTATCCAGTTACTTACCAAGAGTTTTATATTGGTGACTTGTGTTTTTTTGTTCTTGGACAAGAGAAAATTTTTGGTCAAATCGATCAAGAGCAAATGATGATATCTAGATTCCTAAAAGGAACTCTCACTCCTAATTCTTTGTCATTTTAGGAGATGAGAGTAATTTTCATTTATTTAATTTTTTTTTTTTTACCAAATGAAGCAAAAAGAAAAAAATAAGCAGGAAACCCAATAGTTGCCATCGAGTCAATTTTGACTCATGACAGCCTTCTGTGTGTATTCTCAATAGCTAATTTTATTGAAAGTTAAGTCAGTATTTCCGCTAAATGGACTTGAACTGCCACTCAGGGTTCCTTTTACTAAATAATTGTGCTTCCCCCTCTCTGCCCTCAAAGGAGACCAAATACATTGAAATGTCCTTTCTTTTTACTAGATCATGGGAAAGATATTAATTTAATGAGTATTTAATAGCATGTAAGTTAAGTGTAACCATCTCCACAAACAATATTAGATGTATTTTTTTAACAACTTCTCTAACATAAAAGTAGGACAATCTAACATTGTCATTAAAAACAGATGGTGTTCAAATGTCCACAGTCTTGGTTTATGATGCATCAAAATAAATTTTGGGAAAACTTCCGTATCCTTTGTGTTAGACTAGTCTTTCTCCTAAGAAAATGGAATCACACTTGAGGATGACCTCAGAGAATCATTATCAAATATAAACTAAGAAGAGAGAAAACTCATGAGAAGCAAGATGATAAGGAGAAAGATTGTTGATACATGGAAGTGTTAAAGAACTGTCTTAGGGACTCCTTTCTGTGGCCCTCCCTTTTTTCCTTGTAGTATGAACAAGTATGAACTGAGTCTTGCTCAGTTAAATAGGACTGTAGAAGGAAACCAAAATGAATAGCAGGTGAGACTCGAAGTGAAGGTAACTCCTCCACAAGTACGTTTTAATTCACTGGTATTTTTCTCACAGATAGTGAGATGAGTCATGAGTTCCCCTAGGGGGCTGGATATGTTGAAGGGCCTCATTATTGCGTGTTGCTATACCGAAGAACAAGTCTCTTCTTTTTTTGAACTGTTGGTGATTCACCTGAGACTGGTTGTGGCTCTCTAAGCACCAATGCCATTTTCTGCTTAACACTCACACACATGGAATCCTTTATGGACTCGTTTGGGTTTTCTGGTGTTCTTCTTTTAAAATTCATGTGTTTACCTCCTTTCAAGCAGAACCTTGACGCCCAGGTGATTATGCCTATTATTGTTCTCCATAAATACCGTTTATGAATAATGGAAACAGCTGTCATTTCAACAAGAGGATATGTGGTTCTGATAAAGAGTGTATTGTTCTAAATTTGCATGGTTTTCAAAGCAGGATCATGATCCTTCATATGTTCATATTTTTATAATACAAACGTAGCAGCAGAAAAATATATGTTGTATTGTACTACTTTTAGTTAGAGAGTCATGCCCATATTCAAATATACCATATAAAAAGTAGTATTTCTTATTTAGTTATATATAACACAAAAATAATGTGCTAAATGGAAAATACTTATTGTGGTAGATTTTATTTGAACATTGTTACCATGTAAATAAAATATGTTGAAAATGTCTTAAAATATTTTTTGTGGTATCAATGTTTTCCTTAGATACCACCAAGTCAAATGCAATTCATAGTGATGATATAAATAGAAGATCTGAATCCTGCCCTGTCCTGTACCATCCTTACTAGCTCAGATATATTCAAACCCATTATTATAGTCATCCTGTCAATCCAACTTGCTGAGAATCTTCTCTTTGTCTGACCTGCCACCTTTTCTAACATGATGTCCTTTTCCAGATAACATGCCCAAAACATGTGTTATCATTTGAAACTTTAAAAACAAAATGAAAGTCACTCACAATTTGAGGATATATTGTAATTGAAAGGTAGGCAATTCAGGCCTCTTCAGAAAGAGATAAGGCAGTCTCCTCCTGATAAAATTAAGCTTAGGAAACCTGAAAAACTATTGTTAGAAACCAGAGTCAACTTGATGGCAATGGGTTTGGTTTGTGTACAGAACACATCTGAGTAATAACTTGCTTTTGCTGTTGTCTTTACTTATTTTCTAGGTACAGAGGGAAAACATACAGGGCAGTGGTGAAGATTGTACGAACTTCTGACCAAGTAGCAGATTTCTGTAGACGAGTTTGTGCCAAGTTAGAATGCTGTCCAAATTTGTTTAGTCCTATGCTGGTTTCTGAAAACTGTCCAGAGAACTGCTCCATTCATACCAAAACCAAATACAGTAAGTACAAATAATGAAAAGATAATTGACCCATAGATGTAAAGTGAGGTACTGGGGCTTTTTCAGTTTGTGGTTTATGTTTTGTTTTCACTATGGGTGGTTTTCTCATTTTTTTTTTTATTATACAGATTTTCCCCCCCATACTTTCCTTCATTGACATTTTATTTCATGCAGTAATTACCATACATTGTGTTTTATAATATTAATCACCATTGAACTATATCCATCACTAACCCATCTTTTCAGGCTCCTGCCAGATCTTTCCAATTTCCTTTACCCTCTCACGTCACCTACCAAATTGTGTGACCCTGTGATTTCCCACTTACCCATACTCACTTCTCTGCTCCCACCTCTTACCCCTTTGGACCCCATACATGTTTTACTAGTTATCCTTCTGTTTTTACAATAATGGCTGTATGTAGTATTTGTCCTATGAGACTGAGTTAGTTCACTCAGCATAATGCTCTCCACTCTTCTAAGTTATATAGTATTTTTCAAAGTCGTTGCTCCTGAGTGCTGTTTAGTGTTGCATTGTATGAATGTACCATAGTTTCTCAATCCATTCAGTTGGGCATTTGGGCTGTTTCCATGTTATTGTAATGGTGAATAATGCTGCTATGAACATTGATGTAGAGATCTCCATTTGTGTCTCAGTTCTAATTTCCTTGGGGTATATTCTTAGTAGTGGAACAGGTTGATCATACAGAATTTCAAGGGTCAGCTTTTTGAGGAAATGCCAAACTGCCTTCCAGAATGATTGTACTATTTTACAGTCCCATCAACAGTGTATGAGAGTTCCCACCTCTTCACATCCTCTCTAACATCTACTGCTTGTTGTCCTATTATACTTTGCTACTGCTACTGGGATGAGATGGTATCTCATTGTGGTTTTTATTTGCTTCTCTCCTATTGCCAGTGATTTTGAGCATTTCTTCATGTGTTTGTTGGTCATCCGAATGTCTTCCTCTGTGAAAAGTCTTGCCATGTCTTTTGCCTATTTTGTAATTGTGTTATCAATCTTTTTGAGGCCCTGTTGGATACTGTAAACTTGTATTTGAGACCCTAGTCTGAAATGGTATTGCCAAATATTGGGTGGGTTTTTTTGTGTTGTTGTTGTTGTTGTTGTTGTTTTTCTTAGTTGGTAGGTATCCCTTTCACTCTATTAGAAAAAAGAAACTTTTGATGTACACAGGAATTTAATTTTTTTTATTAAATTTTATTAGTTTTAATGAACCTTTACAGTGATTTTGGGTTTTCATTCATTCATTGTTGCACTGTTTTCTCCACCCTCACCCCCAGTTCGTTCTTCTTCCCCCCCAATGTCTGTTTTAATTGTCCTATTGCCACAGTGCTTGTCAAAGCCAGTTCTGATTAATCTCCTTTGTCAGTGTGTCCCTTGCCATTCCCCATCACTCCTCCCTGAGAGAGACTTCACCCTGATTCATAAGGAAAAGGGGATGGCGTATTCTCTTAGCTACTTCCTGC